CTTAAAGACTTCCAGTGTTGGGGCATTCACAACTTCTAGAGGCAAGCTGTTCCACTGATTAATTGTTCTAACAATTTCTCCTTAGTTCTAGGTTGCTTCTCTCCTTGATTAGCTTCCACCCATTGTTTCTTGTCCTGCCCTCAGGTGCCTTGGAGAATAGTTTGACTCCCTCTTCTTTGTGGCAACCCCTGAGATATTGGAACACTGCTATCATGTCTCCCCTAAGCCTTCTTTCTATTAAACTAGACATACCCAGTTCCTGACATTCTTCTTGAATGTTTGGCTAGATAAATCACTTTTCCCTTGATAGTTACTGACTGCTGGGCACAAGAAGGAATAAGTTTAAATATAAAGCTATTTCCACACTACAATAACTTGATTTGTGGGGAAACTCTTGAGGGGAAAAGGGAAATACATGCTGCCTAAAGAACTATATGCTAAAAGGAGGAGCAGCCTGTAGCTGCATAATAGGCCAAAAAGAAACTTAAAAACAATGTGTCCCAATGTATCAGGCTGTTATTTATTACTTATTAAATTTATACCGCATACTGCCCATCTCACAGTTGGGAGGCAAATTCATTAACTATATAACTGGAAAGAAATCGTATCAACTGTACCTCTTTAATTTAAATTAAGATGTACCAAAAAAGGCACCCCTTTTTAGTTATTGTCTGGGCCCTTGTCATCCCATAGAATTTGGCATCTTCATTAAAGAAAATTTTTTGCATGTGGATTTATAGAACTCTTCATCTGAAGCTTCTTCCATAGAATATGTATGCATACAGGTTTATGGTGAGGAACCAGTGACATAAACAATATTTTAGAATGAAAAATACTTTCTCAATCCTTTTGCTTATCTCTAGTCACCATCTCACACAGTAGATCTAAATTCAGTTATGTCATCACCATGAAGTAGTAACTGTAATTCCTTTGTGAATTGCAGCACTAACGTGGCAGATACCTCACAATCATTCCTGCAGTGATTGTACTAACTAACTGTACTAATCTAATAAGAGATTTCTGCCTGTACATCTGCTCTACGGAAGGAATGCTGACCACTGTTTCTCTTGCTGAGACAAAGCAGTTGATCAGATGGAGTTGCTTCAAATGATTGGGAAATCTGCATGTGTTAACTAATAGGCTGGACAAATTACTGAAAGAGCAATTAATGCCCTTAATCTCCCACTGAAACTTACTTTTTTTGTTTTTAACCTCCTACTTAACCAAAACAACAGGATTTGGGATCCACCTTTTCTGGTTTGCACTAGAAAGCAATTTATGCATGAATATCTAATAAGGTCTAGCATTTATTGCATTATTGCTCAAATGGTTCTTGCATGAGATTTTAGACTACTGGTAGTCTTTGACTTACAACAGTTCATTTAGCAACTGTTCAAGGTTACAACATAACTGAAAAAAAAGTGATCATTTTTCACTTAGGTCCATTGCAGTATCCCCATGGTCACATGTCCAAAATTCAGGTGCTAGGCAACTGACACATACTTATGAAGGTTGCAGTGTCTTAGGTCATGTCGGCATCTTTTGTAACCTTACAATAACCAAAGCCAATAAGGAAGACAGAATCAATTAATAACTGTGTTACTAAGTCAACAACTGCAATGATTTATTCAACAAATGTGGCAAGAAAAGTCATAAAATGGCCAAAACACATTTAATAAATGTTTCACTAGAGCTCAATTATGATAATAAATCGAGAACTATCTATAGTGGACTGGGATATGGGCCATCTTCTTTTACTCACCCTCAGTCTGGGCCTGCTTATCCCCTCAATTGCAGTCATAAGCTGAGGATTACCTGTATTTCTACTGTGTTGAAATACAGTAGAATACACTGTATTTCATATACACATACAATTTCATTTCAAATACACATTTCCTGTGTTGATATCGCTTCTCCTGTATGTGGATCTTTCTATGGCAAGTAAGAGTGTAACTCCTTACACAGCTCTTCAGTCCATATGGATCCCTTTATGGGAAAAGATCACAATTCTTCTTGTGGTAAGTAAGACTACTACTACTACAACTTAAGCTCTTTCCACCCTCCATGCATTGATATGGCTTATCTCCTGTGTGGATGCTCTTATGGGAATTAAGATTACTGCTACAATGAAAGATCCTTCCAGACTACATACATTGATATGGCTTCTCTGCTGTGTGGATCCTCTTGTGGGAATTAAGACCATTACTACGAGTAAAGCTCTTTCCACACTCCATGCATTGAAATGGTTTCTCTCCGGTGTGGATCCTCTTGTGGGAATTAAGAGTACTGCTACAAGTAAAGGTCTTTCCACACTCCATACATAGATATGGCTTCTCTCCTGTGTGGATTCTCTTGTGGCAAGACAGACTACTATTACAACTAAAGCTCTTTCTGCACTCCATGCATTGATAAGGCTTTTCTCCTGTGTGGATCCTCTTGTGGCTATTAAGATAACTGTTACGAGTAAAGGTCTTTCCACACTCCATGCATTTACCGTATTTTCACGCATATAACCCGCGGGCAATGTGCGTTTTTACCTACCCAGCATGCCCCCCGCGGGGTATAAAAGTGGGCGGGGTATACGGAAAATATTTTACACTACAGTGACTAACAGATTAACTAAAGGGAGACGTACCAGTATAGCAGTAAACAAACTTGAATAAACTAACCTGTTGCGTTATTTGAATTTTTTATTTATTAAAACAAAGTTACCATATTTTCACATCAATATAAAAGAGCCCTATACAACCCAAATTAAACTTTAAAACATATTTGTCCTATTACTATAAATTAATTAAAAGACTTTAATTGTCCTCTTCTTCACTCGATGAAGAAAAACCCTCAAAGGCATCGTCGCCCGAATCATCATTAAATGCCGCTAAAAGGGCCTCTAGGTGTTCTGAGGTGACAGCTTCTTGTCGCAGATCGTCATCTTCGTCTGCGTCTGAGTTGTCGCTTAGGTCTGAAGCACCTTCTTTTTCATCAGCAATGATGCCCGCCTTTTTAAATCCATTCAGGATAGTATCAGGAGAGATTTTTTTCCATGCATTAAGCACCCAATTGCAGGCTTCTCCATGGGTTGCACGACGCAAACGACCAGACGGTGTAAAAGTATGAGTCCCAGACTGCATCCATT